TTTGACTTCAACTGTAATTGAGTGTCACAGAGCAGGACTGAAGAACTCAGCCTTCAATTTTGCTGCTATGTTGATGAGACCTGAGTATCGTAATAAAATAGATCTTAAATACAAGAAGAAAATTGAAGCAATGGTCAGGTGAGCAGTGTTGCTCTGTACTTTTAAATGTACACAATATCAAGGCTTTATTTGTGATGACATTTTTGCTCATAAGGCCTATGGGCTATATCCTGATTTCATACTCACTATTTCAAATTTGGAAGGCTAAGAACCATTACCCCCTTCTCTGAAAATTAAAGTTTCTTCTTTTCCCTTGGATGCAATAAGCCTTAAATGCAACATGCATATAAAATCCTTCCTACCCAGCTGTAACATTTTCCATTGTGACCATAAAGACCTAAGTGCAGCTAAGATAAAAAAGAAAGGAAGGGCAGATAAAATAGATGAACTCTTGACATTTTCTTCCTCATCTGAAGTTCTGTTTTGATAGATCCTAGTCAGTATTTTCTGCCAGAGAAGGAAGCATAGTTGAGTGTACAAGAGCAGGGCAAGCACATACAATGCTTTTCTTATATATTTTTCTAGCCTCAGTATTGGACTCAGGGACTTACTGAGCCTGTGTAAGTGTTTCAGATATTTATTAAGTCTTTAAGCTTTCCATGAGCTTGTGCAGTATCTCTGCTTGTAGCCATCTAAATTTTTAGCAACTGGTAACACTTGTGACAAGAAGTTCTGTTGTGTCAAGGCTGATCCCTAGCTAGTTTAACAGGGTGCCTTGTAGTTTTCCTCTCGGGAGGGTATGCAAATAACACAAAGGAGAAACTCTCTTAAGGATCAAAGGCTTTGTTAAACATCTTTGTTCAAGTTCAAAGCACTTGAGGTTTTTATTCACATTTGTCTCTCTTCCTTCTAGACGTCCAGACACAACAGAGACAGAGGAGCCAACAACAGCCTGTCCATATTGTTTGTTCCAGCTCCCAGAGTGCCAGCTTCTGTGTCCCAGCTGTAAAAACAACCTCCCGTACTGCATTGCCACTGTGAGTGCCTGTTGTGGTTGCTGCAGCATGAGAATGAACAGTAACACTTTTCTTTCCTTCTAAAATACAAGTTCATTTGAACAGCTTTGGTTTGCTAGTAGATTCAACCTAGGTGTTCTGGTGGGTTGGGCTGTTGGTGGAGTTTGTTTTTTTTCCTAAGATGTTACCAACATTTCTCTTGTCTTCAACTATCACAGAGTGGCCTTAGTAGCCAGCTGTTAAGTTGCAGGCACTTAAGAGTGACAGTGAGATCACCAAGTCATTCTGGAACTCTTCAACTTCCTGAGATGGCAGTGTGCACCAGGGCTCCCCTGAGCCCCTAGCACATCCACCTTCTGTGCAGCTGGTGCCCTGGGGAGAACACAGGACTGTGCTGCTGGTGCCTGCCCAGCCCAGTGCTCAGCTGCTCCACTGCTCCGAGCAGTAATAGCAGAGATGGAAGTCCCTACTTTCTTATTCCATGTGCAGGAGCTTGTGGAGGGCACAGCTTTCCTCTGGTAAGCTCCAGTCTGCCAAGACTTCACAGAAATAAAACACTTCAAAAATCTGTTTTGGGGAGTGCCCAGAATGTAACATTTTTTGGCACTTCCAAGGTTAAGCAATGGTTCAGCCAGTGACCTCAGCATTTGTTGTATTACTGAGCCTTACAGAAATTACAAGTACTAACATTTTTTGTCTCAGGATAATTTAGAGTGCACTGAAAAGGTATGGACTTCCCAGTGGAAAAGCCACACATCCAACTGTTACCGGCATCAGTACAAAATCTTAGTATACTGAGTTTAGCTATTGTATAGCACTTTATTTTTACTAGGTACAAGTGATTTGTCACACTGGATCTACAGAAAAAAAAAACATTTACTTGAGCAGAAATCAAAAGAAAACTAAAACTAAAGTCTTAAAAAATATTAATACCAATTACCTATTTTTTTACTCTGTTTAGCAGAGTAAGGTTTTAAAAGTAGTATTTTAAGGAAAAAAATAAAACAAACAAGGCTTTTAAATAAGCTTCATGAGCCAAGTATAATGTGCATCTTCAGGTTATTTATTTAGGCTCCATCTTGGCTATACTTCCTTTACATCACAGGTATTTGTAACATCATTCAGAAAGCTGCCTCTTCAAAGCCCTTATGAAAGCCAACTGTTGCATAGCATATAAAGAGCATACATCTCTCAATATAGTTCACGGAGGTGTTGCTTTTTTTTTTTTTTTTTGTCTTGAAAAGGTACATACATATTCTCTCTCTCAAAAGCAAATCAGTAAATTATACCAAAACAGAAAAAATTTCTGTTTGAAGAGGCAAGTACCAGCCAGTCATTGTGCTCACAAAGTTGACAGCACTGAATGCCACCCCCTGGACTCAGGGGATGTGTGGCTCTGGGGGCACTTTTTGAGTGTCATATGCAACACCAAAAAGTCCAGTAGACTTTGGTAATTCTAAAATGTTTTCTAGAACTGTACATAACTAAAATATTTTTTTGAATTGTAATTCAAGGGCCATTCTCTACAAATACATTATTTTACAAAAATAAGAATGTAAATTGTAACGAAAACACGGCATCTTATTGAGAGCTCCTTTTCTAATTACAGACTTTACACAGTAATCAACCTACAGTGACACTATTACAGTTCTAGGGTTGTTATTTTTTAATTCCTCAAGATCTTTAGAAATCATTTGCTGAGACTTTTTCACCACAGAAGGTAGAAAACTGAATGCCCAGCGCACTAGGACAGCACCTGCCCCTTAGTTACTTGTGGCTTTTGTGTGCAGGGTCAGCATATGGTACAAGATGACTGGACAGTTTGCCCACACTGTGACTTTCCTGCCCTTTATTCAGAATTCAAAAAGTAAGTTGGTATTTTTCTTCTGTTGCAGGATTCCAATGTTTGTAATTTAGCAGGAAGCTTTCATTTGGTACTAAAAACACATAACAGCTGGGGAGGCTGAAGAAGAATCCCCCTTAGTTGGTAGTTTCATCTAACATACTCCCAGAACATTGCTTCAAATTGGACCAAAAACTATGATAAAGAACTCAGAGATGCTGGGCTCCCAGAACAGGAATGCAGACTTGGCGGGGGGTGGGGGGTGGGCTTGTAGAAGTTCTAAGCTCCTGGGACCTGATACAAGGGCAGGGGGGCAGGACACAGGCACAGCAGCAGTCAACAAAACACAGCGTATTGGGTACGGACTCAGCAGTAATAATCTCTTGTCCCCAGTGTGGGAACAGGGTTGGATAGCTCTCTTTAGATGGCAGAACTGTGGAGCTGCAGACACTTCCATGTTCTAGCCTGAGCTCCTTTGTTTGTTTTGACTGCCAAATTCTCCTCTCCAAACAGCAGTAGCCATCCTGTGGTGATGCTAATTCTCAAATGTTAAAAACAAACCAACCTTTGCTCCATGTAGACAGATACAGCTGTTGCTCTGAACTTGGCTTTATGCTTTCTGCCTCACGCCCAGCTCTTCCTTTGCAAGTGTTAGAATCATCATTTAATCACTCTTTTTTTTCAAACAGCATGTTGCAGACTGAAAACATATGTCCAATGTGTTCTGAAAGGATTAACATTATTCATCTTAAGAAAATAAATGATTGCACAGAATACCTCAAACCAGAAGATGGGGACTAATGAATTCAGGTACGTACTACAGCCTCTATTTTTTTTACTTAACAGGGCTCTTTGTAGAAGATACCAGCCATTTCTCCCAGCAAGGGAAACGCAGTGTTCAAAGATCTAACCTACAGCCTGAGTCTTTCCTCAGCTAACTGAGGCTCAGCTGTATCACACATTTGCCCTCAGGCATGCAAACACAGGTAGGTTTTGCTACTGCAAATAACCCATGTGTTAAATTGTTCCAGTTTTGAGGCTTTAAACCACTTTACCTCTCTGATCATGTCATCTTCTGCACATGTAACCAATTGTGCTGTAGTAGCTTGGAGAACAGCCTGAACATCTCAGCATCATCATACCCTACATATCACAAGAGTTTTAAGTGTGGGAAGACAGAGATGCTACAGGAAGGAGCAGATCTCAAATGTCGGTTACATGATCTTAGCTTTGGTGTTAAACAGAATTTAAGAATACATACTATAGATACATATCACAGAATAACAGCAATATACTACTGAAATGTATTTCAAGCCAGATACTGAGACCACTGCTCTGTCTATACCACACACTTAGATCCAAGATCTGTTTTAAGAGGCTGGTAACTGAAAATGAGCTAAAGTTCCTCATTATTTTTGACACTTGAAGGAAAATTTACTATTACAAACACCTTATGTGAAAACTTAGCTATAGGTCAAAGTAATACACAAGTGATATTATAAAATTCTATACACTACAGTAATCTTACTTTTGGTAATTATTTTTTTTTCAGACTGAGAAAACCTTGTCATTTGCTGTCACAGTCTTTATATCTGGGATATGGCTGACCACGTCTGTTTATTTTCAGAACTGCCTCTGTTGTGTGGCAAGCAGCAAGGGAAGATCTCCGACTACATTACACCGCATGTCCCCACTAGGATTTAACCACCACCACTATATCACTTTTGTTTTGTGATAGCCTTACTTAGCTTTTGATAAGTTTTGTATTTTGATTAATAGTAATAGAACTTACCAAGCAAAATTTGCATTTTATCTGCACCAAAGACAAAGCAAGGGGCATTCTGTGTTATGTGAGTGGCAAAAACAACTCCTCGTATTCTTTTTCTACATCAGTTCTGAACTTTTATGACTATTTTCTATTAAATGTTTCTTACTCTAAGTATTCCTTTCTGGTTTTGATTAAACGCCTAAGCAGGGGCTCCTCAAGTTTTGGAACTAAATTCCATTATTGCTTTTCTGTGTCTCTAACTGAACAAAGGGAAGTTGTAGGAAGAGACTTAAGACTCCATCCTGTACATGCAGGGAAGCCAAGACCCTAGGAAGGTGGAGAGAGACAGAACACCCCATTAACTTAACATTTTAAGAGACTCCTGTGAAACATTTTATTGTAATTTTATACACTGCTAAATTTCTGTAATGTACAAATAAGCAATTTAGGTTTGGGGGTTTTTTTGCATCTACTATTTACAAGATTTCACCACATAAAATCAGGGGATTTATTTAAGAAAAAAAAAAAGTGAAGTAGGAGGAAGACTTAGTATAAATACCAGGTAACTAAGCATCACAATCACCGTGTTCATGCACCTGGTGTTTGTTGTACAAGGCTATTTAGAGCTTGTAATGTTGTAGCACGTTAAGAGTAAGTACAGCACTGTATAGTGGGATTACAGCAGCTACATCACCTCTATAAGAGGAGCATTTTCAACACACTGGTTCTGCTTCCCCAGCTCCATCACTGGATCCATTTCACATTCCCTCCGGAAGTTAGATAACCAAAGCTGCAGGTGGAGCAAGATTTTATTTTGTTTAATGTCTTGTTTTCTCTTTTCTTTTCCCTTCTTTCTTTGTTGTTTCTTCATTTTTCTCTCCTTTTGGCAGCTTAGAAGACTTTGCCTTTTTTTGCTACAAACAGAATATAAAGACAGTTTAAAATTCAACAGCCACCTGACAAAAGCAGAAGTCCAAATGCAACCAGTGTCAAAAGAAAAAGCCATCCCTTCTCTTCCCTTCCCCCTTTAGGTATCAATTTTTTAAGTGTTACGGGGAGCATAGACTCTACAATGTTCCGGGTTAAGAGCTGACCACAGTTCCCAAATTGGTCATCTCTACCAAGGGCCTTACTGGAATGGTCATCTGTGACAGTCACAGATGGCCTGTGGTTGCTCCTTACCAGTGGTCCCCACCAACACCTAAAACATTACTAAGTTTTGGAATTGACTGCAGTATTCATGAGTTTACAGTGATGTCTGACTTCAATCCACATGCAAACAGAAAGTAACAAACAACTTATGACTTTTTTTACACTACTACTAGTAAAGGCTTTAAAAGTTCAGCAGTTATGTATTCAATATCTACTACTATTTTCTTTTTATTCAGATGATGTTACAAGTCCCAGAAAAGTAGCTAAAAACAACACAAGAGTTTAGTGTGGCAGTTTAACACTGAGGAAACTAAGTCACCTTAATCATTGCGTCACTTTCAACTGTATCTTGCTCATCCTCATCAGACTGGATCTCTTCCACATTCAAGTCTTCATTCAGTTCTAGGGTCACTGCAGATGCCGACTGCCTTTTCCAGGTCTTGGCAGAGTTAAGTGAATATGGAGTCAGATGTGCCTCTTTGTTGTAGGCACGTGTAAAAGCTGCTTTGACCTGTTAGGTTGAAAGGAAACCTATGAGAATCAGCTTAGAAACTGCAGATTTTTAGTGAACTTGCTCTTGGCTAGAGGTTCCACATCATCTTGACCTTGGGAAGATGTGACCAAAGATTTATGAAGTAGGACACAATCTCAAAAGGACACAAAAAGCATCTAAGAACTGTATGGTGGGCAAGTCCCACATAATCCTCAGGGTATGCATGTTCACATGTTCCTCACTTAGACCTTTCCCTGGCCTCCGATTAATTACAGCTAATAAAATTATTCATTTGCAGCTGCAGCAGCTTTAGCCTTTCAGCCAGCACCACATCCACACCACAGCTATTATTCTAGGAATGTTTTGTTTTTTAAGATATGCAAAGTAAGGAAAAAAGTAATCACAGGTGAGTCTTACCTTGGGATCCAGCTTTGAAAAAGGACTGGGTTTGCCTCCCCACATGCTTATTTCCATGATATTTTCAACATCTTCTCTCATCAAGCAGTAGGAGTCCACTAATTTTACAGCTTCTTGTACACCATCTACTCCAAAGTCTTGCAGAGGCTGGACAAGTGCATCCCGCAAATATGACAAATACTCCATGTTTACTGTCCTCTTGCATGTCTGAGTTCTTTGTCAAATAGAAAGTAGTAAGTAAAACTGTACAGCCACCAACAACAACTTCTAAACACAAGCACCCTCAACAAATGGGTAATCAGCTGCCTCCAGAGTTAACTGCAAGTTGTACTGTGCTTTTGCCACACCTGTGTCAGGGATAACCAGATATAACACCAGCCAGCAGAACACACCCCTTATTGAGGAACAACTTTTTGGGGGAAAAAAGTCATAGTGCTGCTGACTATACTTAAAGTGTTTGCAGTCTGACTGTTGTCCAGATTAAGGGCTAAGAAAATGTTACCAACAACACAGGAGCATATTTACAGAATATACTTGCATTTGTACCAAACACTTAATGGTAGGTAATGAACTATGTGAAAACTAAATACCACATTGATATAAACCAGAAGAGGAATGTCGGTGCTACCTGAGGCTCATGTGCATTGCCAGCTCTTGAATGATACGATCATGTTTGCCTGTAGACGAAAATTTTCCCAGCCAGCTGGGAAAGACAGGAAACTGGGACATGTGTCCTCTCATCAGCTCTCCAGGGAGAACACTTGCATAAATAGCCTGAAAAAGTAACACACATGCCAAACTCAAATCACACTGAATTATTCTCACTGACACCATGACATACTGCCCTACTTGACTGCAGGGAAGGGGGGAAAGAATTCAGTTCCATACTGGAAACATCTCATTTCAAGGTAACTCTTTATTTGCTGCTTGTTTTTGTCCAGCCCCTTTCAGGTTACAGCTACAATTCTTGTGCCACCCTATTTGTAAACATGTTCTAAAATCTCTCTGTTTTAAAACTTGAGTTTTAAAAGCCATTTAACAAAACAAAAAACAAACAAAACCCCCAAGCCTCTTCATTTCTCAGAGCACACTCAGACAAGCATCTGACTTCTCACAAGCAAGTGCTGGTCTCCAGCAGATGGACACAGTGAAGGAGACATTTCCAAAGAACACCATGAACCTACATAAACTCGGGTAGCTCGGTTCCTAAACAACTTATCTGACTGGACTTGCACTAAGCAGGGCATGGATTAATGACTTCCAGAGGTGCCTTCCACTGCATCTATGGTACACTCTCTGATGTCAGTCATAATCCTTTAAGCACAAGTCTTGTAATGTTTCAGTCATCGGCTTCACTGTACAGTGGCAAAATTCTGCACTTTGGGAGAAATACTGGTCTGCTGAGAGGCTGGGAGAGGAAGTGCACAAATAAAACTGCACGTCAGAATCAATGTGCAGCATGTGCTCCTACACTTCATAAAGAAGGTTCAAGCTGCTCCAAGGTTCAGAAGATGATATGATACAGAGAGGGTTCAGCAACATGAATACGAGAAACTGCTCTGCTCACCTATGAACTATACTGGTCATAAAATCATACTGAAACATCAGTTTCAAGGGATCGGTCTTTCACACTGGACACCCACAAAGCAAACAAAATGAATGCTGAGTGCTCACCTGTGTTGGAAGAAGGCTCCAGTTTAGCTTACTACGAATCTGTTTGTCCACTATATCACCATCACAGATACTGTCAGCTGCTTTACTCAGGAGCACGAAGTGCTTTTTCAGATTTCCTCTGGAAAATAACAAAGATGACTATTACAAAGCAGAAATATCCAGATATGTTTTAGTCTGTTTTTTAATTCCCTGACACAAGAGCCTACGTCAATCTAGCATATGGAATAACTCACCCAGCAGCAGCAGGTCTGACATGTACATAGTTCTCTTGGACAAAGAGAGGTGCTAGGGAATAATCATGGAAGAAAAGATCCGATTTGTCTATCAGGGACATACGAGAAGCCTCCTCTCCAGTAGCAAAAACCTTCCGGACAACATCAAAAGGGCCCTAAGTAAATGGTATTTCAAGAAGTCAGCGGGTTGTAGATCAACACAAAAAGCAAGACAAAGCACAGTATCAAAATTATGGTAGTGATGGTACCAAACAACACCTGGACTCATCAGTACAAGTTCAGTGTTCAGTACTTCCTTCTTAGTGCTTTACCAGTTTTGAGTTTTACTTCTGATATTAAGAGAATTATCTCCTATAAAAAAAGACTCAGGATGAGAAGTATGAGCTTCATCTAAGAGACCAGAACACAAAAATACAGAATCTTAAAATGTTACAGGTTGGAAGAGACCTCTAAAGATCATTTAGTCCAACACTCTGCCAGAGCAGGCACACAGGAACGCATCCAGACGAGTCTTGAAAGTCTCCACAGAAGGAGACTCCACAAGCTCACTGGGCAGTCTGTTCCAGTGCTCCATAACCCTTACACTAAAGCTTTTCCTCATGTTGAGGTGGAACTTTCTATATTCCAGCTTATACCCATTGTTCCTTGTCCTATTACTGGGCACTACTGAAAAGAGACTGGCCCCTTCCTCTTAACACCCACCCTTCAGATATTTAGAGACATTAAGGAGATCTCCTCTCAGCCTCTCAAGACTAAACAGCTCCAGTTCTCTCAGCCTTTCTTCATAGGAGAGATGTTCAAGTCCCTTAATCATCCTTGTAGCTCTCCTTTGGACTCCCTCCAGTAGATCCCTGTCTCTACTGAACTGAGGAGCCTAAACCTGGATACAGCATTCCAGGTGTGGTGTCACCAGGCAGAGTAGGGGGAGGAGAACCTCCCCAGACTTACCTGGACACATCTTTCTTAATGAACCCCAGGATATCATTGGCCCTCTTGGCCACAAGGGCACATTCCTGGCTCCTGGGTAATTTACTGTCCACTAGTACTCCAAGGTCTTTCCCCATGGAGCTGCTTTCCAGCAGGACTACCCCTACTCTGTATTGGTAGTATAGACTCAGTCCTGGATTTACTGCTCTTCAATTACTTGTGGCAAGTTTGACAGCTCCCTATGTCTAGGCTATCAGTGCTTCAGTTCAGAAGATGCTTGTAAAGCATCACTTACCAGTTTGATATCCTTTTTGGCTCTGCTGGCATCCATTTTAGCCTCATCATAAGTCAAAGATTTATCTTTTGCACACCACATATTAAGATTATGTAAAACCTGAAGAACAAAATACATAATGTGGTAACACAGTAGCATTTAAATGGAAGACTAGCAGAAACCAGCCTGATATCTATTCATAAAAATAACAACAATGTTCAGATACAAGATTGAAATCAAGGACTTGTACATGAGATGCTCTCTGAAGGGACAGTGATGCTGAATGGACACTGACCTGTCTGATGTCCTGATTTGCTGCCAGGATTATCTCTTGCATAGCAGGTGGTGGAATTTTTAAACCTTCTTTAAATGCAATAGACATCATGGCACCCTGTAATACACGCAATTGAGCATATGTCACTATAGTAAGAATTCCTATTAATTCTTCCCCCTACACAACACATTGACATATCTATGAAAGAGCATTATTATAATTAACATTTTCTCTCAAAAATACAAGTCATCCCTTGTCATTGCTATAAAAAAAGCATATAATTAAAAAAAAAAAAAGTTAAATATATTTAAGACAGGCTCCTAAATCTGAAATGCTTTGAGATACTTCATTCTTTGGGAAGAAAAACTCAAGACACAACCCATTTTGAAAAGCAGAGTAATGCTCTGAAGTGATCCATTACGTTTTAAATGGTGTTTCTAATTCTGCAGGAATTCTGCCACATGAAGACAGAAGTTACTGATGGTAATTCAGTGCAGTCCACACAGCCACAGCCTTCTTACCTTAATTTGTTCTAGACGAGGTCTCTGAAAACGAAGATCAAAACAGTAGTGGACCAAGGAACGCATTTTAGGGTGGTTTCTATCATTACACATACAGATGATGGGTATCTTTGTGTGTCTAATCAAACCAATCAGCTCCTGTGATTTAAACACATTACAACAATTACATTAGATATCTTGGAGAACAAGAATTACCAAGATGTCATACCAAGCAGCTTTAGTTCCTGTCTTAAATCAGATCTTTGACAGATACCAGTATATAAAACTCTTCCTACTGTAATCGTGTTTCCACACAGTGAAACCCAGCCCCTCTCCTCCTTTTTCTACTTGCTATTCTATTCAGTTGCACACATTTGCTGCCTACCCATTTCAAATATCTACCTCCAGTAATCATGTTTTGACCATTCTTCATGAAGCAATGAAGATCAATAGCCCAGAGCAAAGCTGTCTACCTGCAGAACCAGATTCATTCATCCAAAGGCCAGTTTGATCTGGCCTATGCCGAGAGGGAGCACCCATCTTTCTGACTGCATCCTGCCACAAACAATGAAGATGGAAGTAAAAAAACCAGCTCTTCCCTGTCCAAAGAGCTTAAAACCCGAGGCTTCAGAACTATTAAGCTAACAAGAACAAACTTTGCCTGCTCCAATGAAGATGAAATTCAATTCAATTTCACATTACTGCAACATAAATGTCTGCATCTGAGCTAGAGATCTGTAAGCCCTTTCTTGTCAAAGTACTGCATGTGACCATAGGAAATCTAAATATACAAGTGGAGCTGCCAAGGAGAAGACAGTACAACACTGCCTATGCCACATTATTTATTCAGTGTTACTATCTACTGAAGAGAGCAACTGTCCCAGTCAGACTACAAACATCCCACTGCAGATAGATGTCAGCTGCAGAAACCTGAGGATATATTCACCTGTCCAGGAATCAACATCTGAAGCACAAACACCCAAATTCAGCATTCCCTATCACTTCTTTGACATAAGTATCATTTCCCCCTCTACCAATACATAACTCCTCTTACACATGGGTCAGATAAACTGTACTCTACAGACTTGCTATGGACCATGGGTTGAGGAGAAACTGACTTGAAATACTTTGTGCTGTATATGGTATGCACTCTTAGCAGTGCCATTTGCTAGGAACTATTAAGTTTCACCTGAATCCCTCCTCTGTCTTCATTGCCTGCCATACCATCCACTTCATCCATGATCAATACATGTTTCCCGCTAACTGATGAGGATGTGCCTGAAAATGAATATGGACAAAAAAATGAGATGGGAATAAACCAAGGTCTTGCTCAGAGTTTTACCCAATGCTTTATAGGTTAGGTAAGCCCATCCTAGACAACTAAGGTGGTGGCGAACCTCTTGCTCTGCCATTTAATCACACAAATCTATGTTCACAGATTAGGACTATAACCCCATGCCGTCATCCAAGACTCAAGTCCCACATAACAGAGGAGCAGATGCAGAGTTAGTGAGTAGTTTGTGCAGATTAACAACTGATTCTAGTAATAGCAGGACTTAATTCTACAACTGAAGATGAAATAAAACAGCTTACTAAACAAAGCCATCCCTATCAGAGCCAGATCCCTTCTCCCGATGAGCAAGTTAAATCCCTGACATGGTGGTGTAACCAGGAAGTTACTCCCTACTGTAACCAGACTTCCCAAAATTGTTCAAACAACAGACATACCAGAACAGAAGTCTTTGATGCTGGTGTTGTTAAGCGATTCAGCAACCACTTCCTTTAGACTGTTCTTACTGCGAGTGTCACTGGCATTCAGCTCCACGTAGCTATACCCCAGTTCCTAGACCAAACACACAAACCACACAATATAACATAGATCAGTGAAAAAGCATACGCATACTCAGAATTAGAAACAGTACTTCAGAGTCCCAGAAGAAAGCTCTTACAACACCATTTTTGCATATCATTTGTAGCTTTGAATCCTTCTTCGCTTTTTTTTTCCTGTATCTCTTGCACTCCAAAAAACACTTATAACCAGACATGAACAGATATGCCCAAAAGAGAACTTGGGAGAGGAAGCCATGGGGAAAGAGCACACCAAAAAAACCCACCCTACCAAAATAAAGAGTGAGCGGCACAGATTTAGTTCTCAAAGATTAACAGAACTGCCAGCAGGGGCAGAAAGAGAACCATGAGCCAAGGCTGGTTAAGCTCCATGGTACTTCCAAGCGCCCAACAAACTCTTACGCTCAAAGAACCAGGACAAGAAACATGCCACGTCCATCTGAAAGCCAAAGAAAAGCTTTTAAATAATTAACAGCTAGGAAACACATGGCTCTCCCAGCAGTCCTACCACTTCAGAACAGGATTGGGCTGCACATCAATCTCTGAAAGAATTTAACTGTGCTGCTCGTGTACCTGCCAACACCCGGGCAGGAGCACGCCCCAGCACGGCACAGAGCTGCACACCACTCCTGCAGCTTGAACAAGCCAGTTTTGTTGGCTGTTCCTGTGGAGCACAGTGAAATGCCCTGCAGAGACCTGAAGCAGCTGTGAGCAAGCTAGGGCAGAAACCAGAAGCTGAAAAGACCATGCTAGTGCAGAACCTGTAACCCTGTTCCATGCAGGTGGAACTCTGCTGGGAAAAAGACTAGTCATTCATGGGATCTCCACCCGCACACTGCATCTGTATCCACATACAGCATCAATATATAACAAATAGTGCTGAGAACAACTGGCAATATGAACTCACCTTACAAACCAAAGAAGCTGTAGTAGTTTTACCAACTCCTGGTGGACCAGAAAGTAATGCTGCTTTAAACCCACTACCATCATCTTTGCCTCCAGTTTTACTGGTCTTTGCTGCAAAAGAAGATTCCAGGTTTTACCTCTGTATATACAATACCAACTGCATACTCCATGTAAATCTTTTAAGATACTAAGCATCACTGGAGTTTTTTCTTATTTAAGGCTTGATATGCATATCAAAAATATACACACATCTGCACCATAATCATTTGAGGAAAAGCAGTTGAAACCACCTTAATACCTACAGTGATGCTAAAAACTGAAAAATTGCAAAAGTGTTACTAATGCAGTACAACCATTTCTGCAATTTCCTCACAACCACACATCATTAAAAAATAACACCCCAAACTAAACCAAATCCTAAATGCACCATACAAAAAAACCCTACTACCCACTACATTTGCAGTTAGCCACTACTTCAAACACCAGAAAAATGTCTGCAGGACACATGACACGGGCTGCTTGTCAGGCAGAACCATGACCTTAACAATGCATCTCTTCCCCATGCATGACAGCAGCCCTTCAGACATGTTGCCATCCTGTATTTTCATCATGTGTACACACTGGCCAACATTTCTCTTGGTGAGAAAGAATTCAATAGGATGTAAGTAAGGCCATTTGTGTATATATATACACATACACACACATATATATATTACTGCTAGGTTATTTTGGTTTCTTTTGGAAAAAAAAAATCACATTTAAGAGAATACCACAAGATTTTAAAAATATCTTCAGACACAGTTTGCTTTTCTGAATGTGGTGGGGTTTTTTGTGGAAGAAGGTGGGGGTGTGCTGGTTTTGGCTAGGATAGTTAATTTCCTTCACAGTAGCTGGTACAGGGCTATGTTTTGGATTTGTGCTGAACAGTGTTGATAACACAGGGATGTTTTAGTTACTGCTGAGCCATGCATACACAGAGTCAAGGCCTTTTCTGCTCCTCACACCACTCACCAGTGAGTGGGCTGAGGGTGCAGAGAAGCTGGGAGGGAACACAGCATGCACAGCTGACCCCAGCTGACCAAAGAGATATCCCGTACCATATGACATCATGCTCAGGATATAAAGCTGGGGGAAGACAAAGGAAGGGGGAGACATTTGGAGTGATGGCATTTGTCATCCCAAGCAATGGTTGTGTGTGATGGAGCCCTGCTGACCTGGAGATGGCTGAACACCTGCCTGCTGATGGGAAGTGGTGAATTGTTTTTTCTTTGCTTCTGTGCACAGCTTTTGCTTTGCCTATTAAACTGCCTTTATCTCAATCCACGAGTTTTCTCACACTTTTACCCTTTTGATTTCTTCCCCCATCCCACAGCTGGGGGACTGAATGAGCAGCTCAGCAGGACTCAGCTGTGGGCCAGGGCTAAAACACAAGATGGTGGTAAATTAACAACTACTAAAAAAAAAACCCAGAAAAAAAAAACCCAACACAAACACCACCACACTGAGGGTCAACTGCTTGTTCAAAGTGCACCTGACTTCAGCCTCATTCCTGTTCTAGAGTTGCTCTGCTATCTCAAAGATCCCTATCAGTCCCAAGAACCAAGCTGTATGATTGGCATGGAAGAACACAGAGAGAAGTTAACCACGCTGGTCACCTTGTCCATCATCCGAGGTATTCTTGTGCCAATTTCGTAGCCACCGGAGCAGTTTATTGGCACAGCTCTGCTCACCTTGTTGTCCAATTATTGCCTTAACAGATACAGGCTTGTATTTATCTACCCATAGCAATTTCTCTGTTCCATCTTCATTAATCTCAGAAACCAAGTCCTCCTTGGGCTTTGGGGCTTCTTTCTTGTCTACAGTTTGCCGTTTAAAATCCACAAGCTTTCGAACGATGGTTTCTCTCTTAAGAGATTTGACAGTATCTCCTTTTTCAGAAGTAAATTTATTATTTTTATTATCAGCTTCCTTTTTGAAGGGGCTAAAGCTTGTTTTTCCAGCTTCAGCTTTCTGTGGTGTCCTTTTAGGTCTTGACTCTATTTTCTTTGCCTTAGGAAAATAGAAGTAAGAAAATTAAAGGGAAATTTCAAAAATGACATACAAACATGCTGTCTTTGAACACAGGCACAGGCTTAAGAAAGTAACAAAGATTATTTATTGAAAAAGAAAACTTCAAAAGCACATAGAGAAATTTTCCCCTCTGAAAAATAAGCCATTGTTAAACATGGCATCACTTGGTTCTAAAGCACAACCCAAAAAGAGGCAGGAAACATTATGGTCATTCCAAGGGCAGTCCACTCAGACACTAAGCCTTACACATCATTAAAAAGATAATGCAAAACTGGGAACTGTCAGGTTGGAATGAATGGGCCACCAGACACTCATGGAACTGAAGCTCAGCTCTCACAAAACAGCACTTCCAAGCTCAAATACACACAAAAAAACCCAACCCAAAACCACCAAACACAAAAATCCCCACTAGAAACACATGGATTAAAGTAGGAGGAACTGGGAATAAACCTCTTTCCAATAAGGAACACTCCCCTCTCAAGCACACAACTTTAAAAAAGAACCAGTTATTTAACCACCAAAAAAGAACCTCAAAAACCCCCACAACCACAGAAAGCATTAAATCCAAAACAATTCTAAAGAAGTAACTAGGCAGTAAGCTTGGAGTTGCTTTTCCTTAAGACATCAATACTACATTTATATGGAACAATTCACGTCTAGCCACATCAAAAGTACCAAGGCAACATTTATACTGAATGCTCAGCATGCTAGAGCTAATGGAGATTTCAATAACATTTTATTGGCCACTACAGACTGAATTTAAAATGTGTATAAAAAACTTGTTACTATTTTTACAGTATTCCCTGAAAAAAAATGTTATCTTTAATACTATTAGTTAAGTACCACATAAAGACAACATCAGTTATGTAAACATGTGGTTTAGAGTTGTCCTATGTCTACAGTACAGAATATAGAATAATGTCCAAGTATAAAAGGAGAGGAAAAAAACCCCGTAGCTCTCCAGTAGAAGTCTTAACAAAAATTTCAAATTTTCACTTTCAGTGCTTTTAACCTAGAATGTCAAGCTGACAATTATAGGGTTATTGCTACTGGTAGAGAATAACAAAACTCCTGACATTAAAAACAAGCCAAAGTAAAACAAAAACAAACAAAAAAACCACCAATCCTACGGTTATTATAAACAAACCTCTGTTTCAGCCGCCAGCTCGTATTTGGATTTTTTGCCTGGCATGGTTCGAATGAGATCAAACAGACCATCCTCATCAATAATCTTTGTCCCTAAAGTTGATGCCTGAAGCCAAAGAAAGAATTCAAAGTAAGGTCAAGTGAAGTGAGGAGTTACCTAATTCACTTCGAAGTGCTTTCCAATAAAGCTCATGTTTAGGAACACAACAACCATAAGACTTTTATTATTTTTTCATATATGTGTGTATATATAAATAAAAACCAAACAAAGCCCTAAAACATTGGGCAACTTACCCTTTTAACATACATTTTATTTGTAGCACTGCCTCCTTTTAGCAGACATACTGAAAATCAATATGGATAGATCTGAACAATTCACAGCTTCACTTCTGCTTTGCTCAGGGGGAGGAATACTCACCTTTTCACATTTAGCTTGGCCACAATCTCGCCCCATAACCAGGTAATTTGTCCTCTTGCTAACATTGCCAGTTACTTTTCCTCCATAACGTTCAATCAGGGATTTGGCCTCATCTCTTTCAATACACTCCAGAACGCCTGTAATGACGAATGTCAGGCCTTCCAAGCAGTTTTCAGCACCCTGAGAACCACAGCATTGCAGAAAATACCATTACCTGATAAAAATAATTTTTCAGCATCTCCCTACCATACCAAGTACCCTATGAAACTTTAAAAATAAGCTTATGTTACCTAGCCAGGTAGGATAGATAGATAATAAATCTGAAAGTTCAAATGCCACTAAAAGAAACAGCTACCAACAAAACTTCACACATTGTTTACCTGACTGATCACACTTGTAATGCTCTGTGCTGAAGCACAGCATGTCAGTTAAACGAGTGACAGCAATCTTCAACTTTAAGACCATTAATTATTTTTCATCATCATGACTTAGTTAACCTAGTACTGAATTAAATTTCTTAGTACATTTCCTTCGTCACTGCTTTGCATTCCAATATGTATTTCATATTTGAAATAGAATAAAATGCCAGTTTTTAAACAGTTTAGCTGATATGGGTTAGATCACTTGTAGCACCAAGTCTATGACACACCCCAACTCTACTCTAGAATCCTGCTGCAGCCAAACTCACCTGAGGTATCTCTTTGGAACCCAGTGCTTTTGGCCCCTCGCGATTGAGGAAGCTTCGGTAGGCTTGGTAATTGATTCGCTTCTTTTCAGAGTCCTCAGGGCTTACAGACTGGGGCAGAAGGGAAAAACATTTAACATGTTAAATTTAACATGTAAACATTTAATATGTAAAAACAACAAAATAAACCCAAGTATCACAGTGTAGGATATTTTTATGCACCAAAGGAAAAGTTTTAATACTTTTTTTTAATGTATTAACATGCAATACATACAGAAACTTGCTCTAGTTTTGGTACTTCTGTGGTTTGAGGTATTTTTTGTTGTTATTTTTAAAAAGATTTTTTTTTTAAATTGCCCAAGAGTTAAAAAAAGAGTACCCATTGTTTATTGTCATGTTTCTGGAGACTAAGCTATATTCCACATGTACATGCTCACTTAATTCACATATTGTTGCTTTAAATTCATAACCTATTTTATTTCAGAATGATGATCAAGTATGGGCAGATCTACATTTATATGAAGTCTATTTTGTAGGATTTCTACTTTTAAGAGACATTAAAGCTTTTTAATCAGTAAAAAATTATTTAGATCTCACCCCAAAAAAAGTTGCTGGCCATTACAACTGTTGTGTCAAATTTGGATATTTTGTATTTTATTATTAAAAAGTATGTTTTTGAAGTTGCCAACAACTGTATGGTCAATAATTACATTTACTGAACCAGACAGTTAAAACTAAATTATATTCCTACATAACACATCAGCCATAAGAAATATACTTCAGAAAAAGAGAGTAGGGAGAAAGGAGGAAAGGAAAAAAGGCACCAGACAATGGCATTTTTCATTCCAGCAGCAGTTTAGCTCCACAAGGTTACCACACTCAACAAAAGCAGTAAGCTTTTGCTCACTAGGTGTCAGAATTCCTGCATTCTGCATTTTTTCAGGAAAGTTAAACATAGAAAAGCACTAAACTGATTTTGCAGAGTACATGCATACCTAATGAACATTAAAGAACTCTCGGTTCCTTCATGCATTTAATTTACACTTTGCCAGCTAATTTTCTTCCTATATTTTTACAATTGCAAGGAACTTAAATCCTCACCAGAATTCAAGGTCTTAAAAATTGGCAAGAGGATTCAAAGTATCAAGTTACATCAGTGACACAGAAACAATAATAAATGAAAACTGCTTTCCTACAAACTACACCAAGCCAAGTAAAATAATTTTGATAGTTCCTACCTCACTCTTCTTTGGAGAAATTTTCTCCTTCTTTGGTGTTATCTTCTCTTCTTTCCCTGAAGCAGTTTTTTCTTTTGATACTAAACTTTGAGCACCTCTTTCCTTTTCAGCGGTGTCTTCTTTTTGTTTCAGAGACACAAGCTTAGAGCTAGGTTTCAAAGGCAAGGCCTTATCCGTCAACTCTCTTGCTGTTTTACCATCAGATGATTGTGAGGCTGAACGAGACCCTTTTGAATGTTCAGATTTACTCTGCTCCTTTGCAGTGTAATTCTTTGCTTCACCTGTCGAGTTTGTTGCTTTCCCTTGATGGGGGCAGAGGGAGGAGAGCACATACATAAGAATATATGAATTATAGATTCAAACTCAAGCATGGGAAGTTCCACCTCAACATGAGGAAGAACTTCTTTACTGTGAGGGTTACAAAGCACTGGAACAGCCTCCCCAGAGAGCTTGTGGAGTCTCCTTCTCCGCAGACTTTCAAGATGTGTCTGAATGCCTTTCTGAGTGATCTGTCCTAGCTGGTGGTTGTTGTGTTGGTTTTTTTTGTCCTGCTCTGGCAGGGGAGTTGGACTTGATCTTCAGAGGTCCCTTCCAACCCCTAATATTCCATGATTCTGTGATGTATCTCATCAATATTATAAATTGGTGAAATGCTTTCCATATTCCATGTCCTACCTCTTTCCGACTGCTTGTATCGTTCTGTCACGCTAGGACTGCTCTTGCTGCTCAACGCTGCTTGCTCACCTCCTGAATCCTTCCGAGCCTGAACAAACACACAATGCCAAAGTCAGAGATGCATGTCCCAAGCTACCACCAAGTCCAGATCCCCAGATGTCCTTACTGTTAAGTAGGGATCAGCTTTGTTAGATGTCTTTCAGTCCCTACCACAAGTCAGAATGCAATCTCTATCCAAGGCAAGCAGATGAGCAAATTCTGCAGTCAGTCATGCAGATGATCATTCTTTAAGTCAAAGGTCAGACAGATCTCCAGGTTATAGTAGATTTCGATTCCAGTAGGTTTATTGATTAGTTTAGAAGTACTAATACTTTCTATATTCAAATTAGCAGCGCTAACTTGTAAGAGCCTTGTGCCTTACAGCACAAGGCATGACAACTGAGAAGACTTCCACACACTAGTCTGAAATCCTCAATATCCCTGCTCACCCCTTCACTGAAAAGCAAAGATTGAAAAACAAATTACCCTCCTTCCTTTTTCTCCCACCATTTTTCACCAAGCTGTGCCATTGATCTGGTCCTCCTGAACCAATGGACCTATAAGCTGATCTAAAGCAATACACTTCACTCAATTAGAACTAGAACTTAAAAATCCCATTTCAACAGAGGCAGGTAGCACAAAGATACACTGATGCCTGCTGTGTGACTGGGAAGGCACTATTTACTGAGGGAGGAAAATTTGAAAAGTGAGTATGTTATGTTTATGCAAACACTTTCTTGCTGTTTTTAATGCATTTCTATGCAAACAAAGATTAAGTGTCCGAGCAATGCAATTTCTAAAAATTAAAGTTGAAAAAGAGTCCAACCTTTTTCTTCTGGGGTGTTTCATCCAACATGGCCAAAGTTTTAGCAAACTCTTCATCTTCATGCAGCTGCCTCTCCAGCTGAAAGAATACCAAAAAAAAATTAAACAGAAAAAGAGATTTTTAGGCTCATATCTGACAAGTCCTAATTCTACTACAAGTTTTTAAAACTCAACACAAAATGTTCATCTAAAATATGACAGCACATAGTGGAAAACGTGCATCGTACCAGCAGACAAGAACAAAGCCTGTTAAGTATTATTGTGTCCTATAATGCATGTTTTACTTTCGTTCACTGCTAGCAACATATCATATGAAAAAAATACATGGCAGTTCGGAGAATATGGCTGCTGTCCTTAGCCTAGCTCTTGTTGCAAGTTCTGTTTACCTTATGGAATCAAATGTACTTTTTAATATTTCTACTTGCACAACTGATTTTCTCTGACAGAAGAACCAGTAAGAACAAATACTGCACGTGGTATCTGAGAAAGTTCTTTATTCCTTAAAAAAAACCAGGTTGGCTTCATTTTTATTTCAGCTAACAAAATAAATGTGACATCTACAGTGGTAACCGATCACCAAGTAACCTTTCCTATCCCATATGGCTCTCTGGAGAAAACCTTTTTTATTCCTGAACAGTGTATATGGTTGGCAATAAATATCTACCGTTGTTTCAATTAAAAAAAAAAAAAACAAAACACAACAAAAATCCTTTAATAATTGTCTTGAAGTCCAATACGCCATGCAATTATTTTCAAACAGATCACTTTATAAAATCGTTATGCCACAGGCTTTTTTTAATGTGCCCACAACAATGAAATGTATTTATCTTCTCTGTGTACAGTGAGAAAGGGGAAGGGCAGCAACTACCAGACTACAACTACAAAACAGACAGCAACTACAAACCAGACTGAGGAAGAGATACACCTGAAATAAAGTACATTCCTCAGACAATGGGAGTGTTATATGCAAGATCAGTTCAAATTAAAGCCAATATTTTGTTTTTCATGACAGGTTGTTTAACTCTCTAATACAGCTAAATTCATAACACCTCTGGGGAGGTCAAGGATGAGCCTTTTGCTTGTACCATACATGTACTTCAAGGAATACTCAATATCACAAGTATGTGGGAAGTGAATTTTTTTTCCCAAAAGGAAGTAAAGATGTATGAGAAGTACACCTTTCCCTCCTATCAGGACTGATTCAAACAGGAAAGTTTAGGATGCACACCTAAGTAATTCCCATTTTTCTCAACTATAAAAAAATCTCAGATGATAGTAAGTGAAACAGCCAATAACAGATGGCAACAGCTTTTAATTTCTCAGTCCAGAGAAGAAATAAAAAAAGCAAAACACAACCAAAACACATGAGGAAGCAGAAAGAGAATTCTGTGTGAAATGCAAGGTTATTATAGGCACATCAACTGCACAAGTAACGAGAAAGTCTGGCTGGACGGAGAATAGATTGAGATCTTCTATTTATGTAACTGAAATACTGCCTATAAAAATAACTGTGTGGCTGTGTCTGCACATATTTGCAAGAGTTAAGTATACAGATGAATTTTATTACACTTATTTACAGCATACATGGAAAGTCCATCTTAATTTCTTAAGGAAAACCAATTTGAAGTTAAATAAACTGTTCTTGGCATAGAGCAACAGATTTATAGATCTTTTACCTCTGAATCTTCTTCAAGCTGCAGTTGCCTAGCAATGGCCTCATCATCTATTGTGCTGTCTCTGCTTTGTGAAGGCTACATGTAAGAAAAGAGGGCCAACAGTTCAGTTTCCCCAATACTATTTAAATTATAATAATTTAATCTTTATGGAAAAATGGAAAATGTGACGCAGCATTTTATTCCTAGCTCTCTAACCTAAACACTATAAAACAAGGCTATTATCCAGAGATTTTACTATTCGAAACAAAACCATGCTACAATATAAGTATCTCATTTCTTCAAACAATGCTCAACAACTCTGAAGCTATGACAGTTGGCCAACTTGAAAGGAAAAACAACTACATTTTCAACTTTTCATATCCTCCATACTTTATTTGGTGCTTGATTATTCCATGAATATATGTGCCATAAAGCTTAGGAAAACAACCTCCTCCTCTCATTCCTGCCCTCCATGCCTAAAAATAAATTATTCCATCAACTCACTAACTTCAGAAAACTACTTAACTTTAACAAAAATCACTTGAGAAGAAGCCATAAAGAAAATACTTTCAACTTTGTCCTACTTCTCAAACATGGAAATGTTACTCTGAGATTGCACTTGAAGACTTGATATGCCTGCACATATCATCAGAACTGAACTGATACTTGAGTGGTTATTAAAAACTAAGTAGGATAAGCAGTGAAATACCTCCTTGCAGTCATTAAAATGGGCATTTTGATCTGCCATCAGACACAAGAGCAGCCTAAAGGAACATAAACAATACTCACTTCCTTCCTTTTACTTGCTACCAGTTTCTTTTCTGAGCGTTGGACACTACTTGTCCCAAAGTAATCAAGTGCTGAGGTGGGAGTCTTTTTCACTGGAGATAATGGTTTACTCTTAGCTCGTGGTTTTACATCCTCCTTTTTCACCATAGTTGTTCCTGGACAACTGATTGCTGATGTCCCATTCTCCTTCGGTTTCTGGGAAATTCTTTTATTGACAAAGTCATCTTCTTCATCTAAACATGAAAAGTATTAATTTACTTCCGGAACATGGAACTCAAGTTCTTATAATCCAGCTGTCAAGAGAACTATTTCAGCAGGTTACATCAACTCATATCCTAAGAAAAGTATTACAGATGTTTAGAAGTTGTTTGGAAAAAAAAAATGGGTGAGTTGCATAACACATAATATTTACATCTCTAATAGGACAGCTCAAGTCTGAACAGACTGAGTGCTGAAACAGAAATATAAAATTTGTTACTTGTGTTCACGCATTACCTCTCAAGAGTTCACAAAGAATGCCTTCCCTTCTTACATAGGGAAGTTGATAAACAGAAAATCTAGGTCACTGAAATTTGAACCCTTCATTAATGCAACATAAAATTGAACAGCACACACAATTCTACTTTCACATAAAACATGAAATACAAAGCTACATTTATTACTTTATAGTACTCATTAACAGAGCAGCAATATAGGCTTTGTAGACTTATTGAGAGATTCTTAAGAATACGTATTACACTAGAAACCAGGGGAAGATATGAGAGTAATGTATTTAAAAGCAGCTGCTTGAATTAGCTTACCAGTTATTTGCAAAATATTGCTCCTAGGCTTATGAATGATTTAACAAAAACACTGTAACACCATTTTTTACTTTTCCCCTTTTAGTCAGAGATTCTATGAGCTATTCTACACATCCTACATCTCTGCGCTTGAACACTCCTTCCAGTACAGCCAAAACTACCCAAAAGAAATGCAGCCATTTCACAGAACAAAGAAATCTGACAAGAGGTCAGCATACAAAATAAGATTTTCAATTTAAAAGAAGGAGGGAAAATGTCAAATAGTTTCATTAAGAATTAGCCCACAGACCAAACAAAAAAATCTTTCCTTTTAAGACTCTTTTATAATAGCCAGAACATGGTCTTCCCAGCAAAGAAAGAGAGGGTTTAACGGTCATTTGTTCTTTCTGGACCAAAACTCTTCAACCAATCAACCAACAGAAAAGATTAGCAAGGACTCCAAAGAGTTTCATGTTATTGCATGAAGTTGTACTGACAGTTATACAAATGAAACCCAATCACTGAAGCACACAAAAACCCTTTGATACCATGACCAAATTATCAGATTAGTATGACAGCACAGAAGACAAAAATCACTGGACGCACTTCTTGATCAGTGATAAAAGCACTTTCTTCATGAAATCTTCTAAAAACCTCAGTGTGCAAGGCTAAGCAGCACACTGCACAAAAATCCCCACAATGAACATTAGACACAGAAAGAAAAAAAGCACAAAAACTTCAAACAGAAACAGGAGCCACCTCATTTGCATGCCACTAACTGAAGTCTGGTTTCACTTTCCTCAAAATAGAAATGTTTTAGACACTTCCCTCAACACATCATAAACACAGAATGTCCCAAACATGTTTTATAGCTGAACTTTAAATGACAGTATTATCACAAAAATATACCCATTTTCCAGCCATATGTATATTAAAACTCTGTATCTCTTTTAATACCAAAAAATGTCCTAATCACTTCCCTATGTTTAGACATGATGTCTGTGATACACAATTTTTGTTATATACTAGACAGAGAAACTACTTTTTGTTTCACCTTTTCTCAATAGCTGGTTGTAACAAAAGTGTTTTAGGCATGAGCTGGAGTTTTCTGCTACCAAACACTTACTAAGCAGAATATAACATGTGCAAAGAGGGATCCTCACTATTCATAGGAGAGAAAATTCAGAGAGAAATAAAAAGAAAACAAAGGTAAATCTGTAAGGGAGGAAAACTGGCTCAGCAGTTTAATTAAGAATGCCTAAAAATAAAAATGTTATCTATGAGTAAGTGGCATTTTAGCCAACTGAATTGACAAAGCAATATATATTAGGGAAAATCCAAGCCCAGGTCCCTCAGCTGACAGCAGCAAGTTTTACTATGAACCTAAAAGCTTTACTCCTCAATGCGACTTACTTTCCCTGGGCAAGAGCAAGTCTCTTACTGCCATTTAGCTGAATTCAACACACTATTATGTATCTAGGAGATTTGGACAATAGATGCTTAAGGTGCCTAATTTATAATAGTTTGAGGTCTGCATAGGAGACTTCTTGTGCCAAGCTTCATTTCAGAAATATTTTTGCTTCTTCTGAATTTTTCAGTTAAACAAGAAAATACATTTGCAGGAGTAAAATGTACCTATTACTAAAAAATCAACAGTTAACACGGATGTAATAACATTTCTTTGTCTTGGAAAGAAGATAAAAATCCTGTTCTTCTGCCCTGCTCTCAGCTTTTGTTAAGCTAAGGACTGCTCCATGCTAGAAATTAATCTTTACTCACCACTATTGTTATCATATCTGCATGCAATATTGATTTTTCTCATTATTAACTCATAACCATTTAAATAACAAAAAAACCCAACAGGATATTGCCTTCTCTAAAGTAGAAAGACACAGAGTAAATATCATTAGGTTTTAATTTAAAAGGATGTTGAATTGAGTAATTTATTATGCCAGTACTAAATATTACCAATAATTAGAGCTTTGTTTTAATTATGTCCTTCCTAGAAACAACCGGATTAGAAGCATTTATTCACTGGAAGAGATGGCTGAAGAAGGACAAGAGACTTACAGCACTTACAAACAGTCATCTATAGATTTAAATAAAGAAAAGGCAGAATGAGAGCATGGAAGTGATCATTAGGAAAGAGAAACATCCTTATCCTATTTAGGTGGGTTTCAAAAGATGCTTTAAGAGACTCAGGCTATCATTTCATCCCAGGTTCAAGAAATTCATAAGCACATCACAAATTTGCCTGATCAGCAAAGTTAATCAGCTGTACATTTTCAGTTTCCTCAGAAGCATGAGGGCGACTTCATTTACAACTCTGAACATCAAGGGTCCTAGTATTACTGCTGGACTATTTGGGTCCATGTTTCACAACACATGACCTGAAAAAGGAGAGAGGCATTCTCACTCACACAAGCAAGCCAATAATTTCTGGAAAAAGAGAAGTAAAATTTTGGATTTTAGTTTATAAATACTGTAGATTAATTGCATTCTTATAGCAACTGCTAGGTGAACAACTGAGACAGCCTTACACAAGGACATGGACTTCACAAAGTAAGGAACAGGAATACGTTTTACCATCAACTAGATGACTTTTATGATGCAAAAACCTTTGTACACTAGAATGACTATTCCAAGAACAGAATTTCCTGTTTTCATTTTTTTATGTGTGCTAGACCATATAAAAATACCCTGAGCATACAGATTTGTTTTTCTTCACAATTAGCTGAGGATTACAAACACAAGTCAAGCCCATCTATTCTAGTCACATTTTCTGGAAATTAAGTAGATGTGACAAAGAGAAAGCTAATTGTGTGATTAACGGAACAGACAGGCATGGCAACCAGGAGATTGCTTTTCATTATTTTGGATGCAAACAGTACTCTTGAAGCTGGCACCTATTATGCCAGGCAATGTACAAGGACAAACTTCCCTAGCAACAAACAACAACTGTTAAAACCTGGAGATTTTAAGAACTATTCCATGACATTAAAGCACATCTGGCTTTCATTTTATATACTGTTCTAGCAGTAACACAATTAGGTTAATAAACTAATACCAGCAGCCCACCTGTAACCGTTTGCTATTTCTCTTACTCTTTCCTATCCTCACCCTTTCTCAACAGCCTTTCACTTGCTGATCACAGTAACATCTGTGGTTTTTCCCTAATCCAGATATATCAAAATTATCTAGGCTATTTGAAATATTTGTTGAAATTCAGATCACTTTAAAAGGTTAAGGTTCAGGTTCAGCAATTACCTTAGCCAATCTAAAAAGGGAGCAATCTATTGCAGGAAGAGACAGTGGAAGTGAGCTGCATAGGACAGGATTTCAGATGGCCTTCAGAACAATGCATCTTATTCATCTTCATTTATTATTTCTGTACTGTTGAGTTCCTCATCAGTCTAGAACATAATTCCCTGGTTCCTCTTCTGTGTAGAATGCAAAATCAGGCAGAAACATCCTCTTACTATGATGTTATAAGATCAATTTCAAATACAGGCAGGGCATCTACAGGTTACAAATAACTCATTATGACAAAGGTATGTTAAATTTGTGTTTGTTGACTACTACGTAAGGACTTCTGGATGGAGCTAAAAGACTATCTCCTACCCAAAAGTCATTAAATCTACATTACTTATATAAAATGACAGTATTCTGGAAACTGTTCAGTTACAACGGCACTTCAGCTACCCATATATTTAAATTAGTTCCAGTCCTAGAGAACATTAGTCCAGAGCAGCAAGAATTGCTGCTGACCTAAAGTTGAAGGTGGATAAAATAGCATTCATATGAAAATAAGTCACTGTACCAGGTTTTGATTATTTTAAGTCAGCATCAGTCAGTATTCAACAGTCCCAGCACTTCGTAGGCCCGAGTTTTGTATTCACTTTTTTCTTAAAGTAAAGATTTAAGATTATTATTTCTAAAAGAATCACCACTTCTCAGAGAAACCAGCAAATCTATTCAAAGTCACCCCTGGTAGCTCTTCTTGCAAAATCAGATTTCATTCCTCAACATGCAATGAAACTTCATGCTCTGGTTTAATTGCCTGAAGTTACCTGTATGATCGGAATATTCAGTAGCACCAAATGAATAATTAGATAACAGGAAAAAAAGGTAAGTTGAAAAAAACCCAGGCAAGTATAAAGACGTTCATTTTTTCCAGCTGCAACTCAGGCTAAAAACAACTAAACAAAAACAGCACAACAATGAAAAAGAGTTGTCTTTAAATTTTAAACTAATGCAGCAGATTAACTGAGTCAAGACCATTTACTCAAGCAGCTCAGTAAGGAGATATGAAAGAAGGAATGGGATAAAGATGATTCCCACCAAGCAGAAAGGAATAGGCAGAGTAAACCAGCAACATCCCAAATTAATACAGCAACAGCTTGATGAGCCACTGTTCTGAAGAATGAACTGGTGAAGTGACATCAAGATACTAC